TTACTTCAAATTAAACCGCTATTAATGGAGCAGCACACGCTATGACACATGCGAGGACAGGACAAATGCAAGGCCCGGCAGGCCATGCCAGAAGACAGTTGTTGCTGTTATCGTGATGCTGTCATCAAATATTAGTATAACTAGACATCCAAAACTCAAAGTCTCAAACCGTAAATAAGCGGGGACAAACCAACAGCTAAAGAGTAGCGACTAGCGACAGCCGAACACCCAGCGCACACATATTTTTGGACCAACCTGATGGATCTCCCAATGGTGTGCGCACAGAGAAATTGATGACTATTTTTGTCTCTTACGGGAGCACAAGTAAATAATGATCATATATGTAAATTATAAATATGCATCCGACGTCATACAATGTACAGAGAAATTGAAGCAGTGTATTGCAGTAGGTTAAACCTTAAAAATTTACTTTTAAAAAGTATAGGACCGGTTTTATTAGATTTAATATGTTTGTATACATCTTCTTCCTCAAGAAGCATATATACTACATCTGTTTTCTTTTATAAGGCGAACTTAACATGTCATAGTCTCTCAAATTACACTTTCTTCATTTATTTATTTTATATTATGTTGTTTATGCTTATAAACTTAATATACTCGAATAGCACATTTTATTACAAATCTAATCGGGTCAAGTTTATATTGTAATAGTTAAAATTAATTACAAAAGTTACGTATAGGCTAAAGATTTTAAAGTTTGATTCTTAACATGTTTGTGCACCTTATAAAAGAATAATGGAGGGAGCATGACAGAGAGGCTCCCTTGCTAAAAATAACTTTTCTGTAATTTTATCTTTAAGCTTCGGTTTTCTCGCTAACTCAATGGCTATGCCCAAAAACATGGGATTTTTTATATAACCTTTTTAACCGAGTATATTTTAACACTAACCTGCTCAGAATAGATTTTATAAATCTAACCTTTTTCATCATACCAGCCACGCTGGCGCGACAGGGCACCTCTAGTGAGCACCATATCTTCTAGCGTGACAAGACTAGCCACGTTAACATCAACATGTGACCTAAGCCAACGCGTGGCAGCCTGGTGTGTCCCACTATGCATGTCACACCAGGCACTCAGGCAGGACGGCACGACAAGTTTGTCACGCTCACGCCACCCTACTTGGTGTGAGAAGGCATAGTATATAGGCCACATTAGGCCCTCCTTTTCTCCGTTATCTTTCTTCTCCCTACACTTAGGGTATTAACATGTCATTATGTTTCCACTAAGTTGTCTAACCTATGTCTCCTATTCTAATTAGTCTTAGTGATAATTTTGATTAGTACATACATATCATTTTCGCAGTGCCACCAGCAACCTCCAGGCAACATCTGTGGCTTCTTCACGGCACACCACATGATAGTGACCATGGGATTGACCATCTACAAGAGGCTGAGTATATATGTCTTGATATCACACCTACTCATTAAATCTACAAGATGTAAAACGGCTATATATAGCTAAGGTTTAGATTTAATGCAGCTTGCCTATATTTCTGAAACATGGGTTTTCTTCGATACATGTACATGAATTCAAAGTGTTGACATCATCCATGAAATGAATATGCAATGCACAACATTCTTAAAAAGATTTCAACATTTATATATATATAGTCCACCAGGTAATTTATAAGAAAGGGGAGTTCTATTCTCTTGCAAATGAATATGGAACAAATGCCTGCGATCTAATACTAATTAATTCCTTGCTATGACGTATATACATACATACATATACACATGGCGTACGTGTGTGTTGAACTGAACTAGTGATGATTGATGGCTGAACTGCATATGAATTGATTGCTATAAATGATGCTTCGGATGTATAGCTTGATAGAGACGCGAATAAAGAATCTGCATCTCTGACCAAGCGGATTCATCCTCGCTGCTCTGCCATGCCCCACAAGCAGGAGTGAAAACGGTACGGATATTTTCCGACCGTATTCGAGACCGAATCCGTTTAGAGGGGTTCAGATCTATCCGTATCCGAGTTCGGATATTCAACATCCGATACCGTATCCGTATCTGAATACTCAGATCACATATTTATGATGTCGGTATCCAGTTGTATCCTATCCGGCATGGTTGACACTATCCGTATTAAAATCCGAATCTGGACAGAAATATAAAAACAAATACAATATCAGTGATATCCGTCCGTATCCGATCCGTTTTCATCCATACCCACAAGTCGGCCGCGCGCCGCGTCATCGTCATGGGCTTCTTGGGCCCGGATCCGCCGTCCCCGTGTGGCGGCGGCCGTTGCCAAACCCCCCCCTCCCCTCCTCCAACATGATACACCGTGACCCGACGCCTGTCCAAGTGCGGACGCTTAGCGAGTCGCACCTCCCACCATCGCGGGCGAGTTCGGGAATGGCTCCGCGGTGTGGTGGCGGTCGGCACCTCTTAGTCCAGGAGTCGATGCTCACCAGTGCGCGTGTCCCACCGTCGCGGACAAGTCCGGAAACGGCTCTGCGTGTTGTGGCGGTGGCCGACAACCCCCTCTGTCTAGGCATGGACGCTTTGCTGGTGCGCGCATCCCACTGTCATGGGCAAAGGTTCTGGATGAAAGCTTAACTCAGACCAATATGTCTGGGCTCGTGACCATCAAGATTTCATTCTTGAAGGTGTTACTAAAGAACCTCTTGCGGCTGATTCTCCTAGATCGGCCTGGTCAATGCAGTTACCCCTCGGCATAAGGCTTGGGCGAAAGCCCTGCCAAGCTCCTGCTTGGCTGACGATGTTTACGTTGCGGCGTCATTCACCTACCTGGAGACATCGTCGAAAAGTTCTTGTGTCTTGGTGTTGTAGTGTTTTCTCTCTTTTTGTTATATTTGTGGTTGCACACCATTTGCTCTTGTGCTGGGGCTTGTTGTTGTTGTTGTTTCTTATTAGTGGATATGTCACAATCTAGCTCTTGTGCTGGGGCTGTTGTATTGGTTTTAATCCAGTTTTCTAAAATTAACCGGGTGATAGGATTTTGTCTCGTTCCTAAAAAAACAAGGCTGTTGATGATAAATCAATGGCAACAGTAAAAAACAATATGACACGCATGGGCACATATCAACCTATGTTCGCTGTAGTTTACATACTTAAACTGTTAAACATATTAATACACATAAACACGATAATACAATATGTTCAGCGCTAGCTAGGCCACACACACAGCACGAACCACAAGTTTCAGACAGGAGTAACAATGACATGTACCAGCACACACCATTCCTACACCCTTATTTTCTTCCGCAAAGCTAGAGCCATGGCACCATTCTTGTCATACAGAAGACGCCATGGTCCTGCTAACAGCTAGAATGGATGCATGTCCACGTTTATATTTACGGTGCATGAACAGAGAGGGCCATGTTGATATCCAGAACACGATGACACTGGCGTAGTAACGAAGACGTACTGTGGTAGCAAGCTAGGCTGTGCCTGCCTTCTTGACGAACGCCAGATTGCCGTACGACATGAAGTGGCACACCGGCGTACCGCCACCAGGGTGAGTGTTCAGTATCTGGAACGCTGGGTGCATCGGGTTCCAGCAGGAGGTGTCGAAATGGCAGAACGCCAGCAAGGAAACCATCGGACCCTCGTGGCGGCCGCTAAGCGAGACCATGTAGGCTTTGTACCCCCTGTTCGTAACGTGACACTGGTAGACGGCGTACGGGAATGGCACCTTGTGGCAGGACACGTAGCGGCTGCCAACGAGTGGGGTGACTGTCTGCACCACGTACTGCCGGCGTGGCAGCAGGCCACCGCGCGGGAGAGCCGACGTGGCCGCCCACACGTAGTCACCACCACCACCACCCTGCAGCTGGCTGGTGGTGGTGCCGAGCATATCCATGGCGGCCTGCACGGTGCTCTCCAGGGACGTGGTGCAGGCCTTCGCCTCGCCGGCGAGCGGTGGCTCACGGCACTTGCGCAGGGTGTCCTCCACTTGGGTCGCCTCGACGGAGCCTGGTGAGATGTGGAACGTGGCGAGGACGTCGCTTAGGTTGTTGAAGGGGACCTTGTCGGCAACGTTGTGCGGGAGGATGGGTATCTCCACCTCTGCCGGGAAGGAGAGGGTCATGGTGCTGCCCGGATGTAGCTGGGCCTCGTGGAAGTAGATGCCGGTCTCTGCCACCATCTGCGGGTCGCAGATAGTGTTGAAGAGTGTGCACATGCTGATACTGGGATGTGCAGAGTAGTGCTCCACAAGCGGTGACTGATCGATCCCTGCCGAGGACACAAAGTCAATGTCTATATGTATACTCTATCTATGCATCAAAGAGCGAAAAATTATTCCTCTGAATTTTGGTCCATCGGACTCTTTTCCTATCCGTGTCCCGCCTCCGCTCTCCGAAGTATAAGAGTTCTAGCTGGTTTTACTAAAAGTAGTAGTATACATGATGAATTAATTAGAGATTACAATTCAATCTCGTTTATGAAGTAAGAGTTCTAACCGGTTTTACTAAGAGTAGTAGTACATGATAAATGAGAGATTATACAATTCTAATTTGTTTATTGTCCCGTTACTCATAATTGATGCTCACATAAGTTAGATAATCCCCAACCGTACTTGAAAAATAAGTGCCAGAAAACTGATTTTAGAAGCTTTGCTAAAAAAAATATTGGGAGCATGCAGAATACCACCCATCCTCCAATTAATAGTTCCAAGGTTAGTTGTAGGAAAACTTAAATTTGCACCATGTCAACAAGACAACAAATCCTAGTCGTTACAAAAAAAAAAAACAATTCCTGGTAAGGCCTACGAGCTTAAAAAATTAAGAGCAGCAGCTTTGCAGCAACTCAGCCATCAGCAATTCATAACTCTGAAGTCTAACCACAGCACAGCCTCTTCTCCCTCCTCCCACTCTCCCCTGCGCCCATGGCATGGCTAGTCACGTTATCCTGCATGCCGTGTGTCGCAAGGAGCTCTCTCATGCTCTTGGAGGGGCGGAGCTAAAGCAAATCTGAGGGGATGCATCTTGCCTTGTGAGTACAAGAATCTATAACATGTTGGTGCAAATATGGTGAAAATTTAGCTCTTTTCGCTGTCTTTTTAATTTTGCGTGGGTCACGGCGCTCTATCCGTGGCGGAAGGCGATAAAGAGGTAGCCGTACCACTGTCCCTGCACCGCCGCACGTGATCACGATTGGGAGGGGACGCGTGCAGGGATTAACGAGGAGTGCAACCAGAGATTTAGCAAGCGCGGAAAGGTAGATTACGATGAAGTTTCAGGACCTGTTGGGTTTTCATTTTTTTGAGTTTCTGCTAAAAATGAATTTTAGGAGTGTTTTAAGAAACTTTTCGAGATGCTCTTAGTTAGAATAACGTATGTCCAATCACGGTACATCTCAAAACGTATTATAACAGATGCTGTAGGATGTAAATTCTGTTGCAAGTTGCAACACACGTGTGTTTTTGCTACTAACTATATACAAGGAAAATCTTTTATGTATTTATACTAAACATATAATTAAACATGTACTTAAAAATTACCTTTCTGAACAAAATCTGCTATGACCTCCGGCATCGTCGTGCCGGGGAGGGCCTGCTCCCAGAACCGTGTCGCCGGAGTGCTGGCTGCAAGTTGGCCGTGCGCCATGGCGGCGGTGCTGACTGCCACCACGATCAGAAGGAAAGCGGATTGTTGATGCATCCTTCGAGATTGTTATTATGTTCTGATGAATATTGCACCTGATGAGAATTAATGAGAAGAATGGATGATCAATGGCTGTTATAGCTCCTGACGGTCTGGGGTGTATATATAGCCCTTGATGTTCCTCTGAGCAAGTGACCCCACACAAGCCCAAGACATGCTTTTTCTGCTCGCTTTAGTTGCAAATGGTTTTTTTATATTTATTCTTATTATAAGGTTTCAAGCTAAGGAAAGATGTGTATAGCTATAATGTCTATCTCATTTAATATTTTTCAAGCCTAGTAGTTCCTTTCATCGTAGTCAATATGTTCACTAGCTCTTAAGCCGGTGTGAGTGGATACAAGTAAGAGTTCACTCTTAAAACATTCCAAGCAATGCTTTTACAAACTCCTGCCTATCTACATGAGTCCTCATTAGCCTTCTTCTATAGATTAAGTTTGTATTTGGTACATCTTCTAGAAAGTGTTTCTACTACCAAAAAGTACAACGCAAACCAAACAGGTTGAACTTAAAGCTGTTTTTCTAGAAGTTGTTTTCGTGTAGTATAATTTTCGCAACACCCTTGGATCCTGCTTTGGCTTTTGGCTTTACGTTTTTTAAAATGGGTGAAAATAGATAGGTGTTTTGAGTTGTTTCAAAGAGATAGAGGGAGGAGTAGGTTCTATAGTTGTTTTAACTAAACAACTTACAGCTTTTAAACAGCATGTAGCTTACATTAGCTTTTTCATATCTTACAGCAGTAACTTGTCCATAGCTTACAGTTGAAACAAACATACCTTGACTTATGCAGTGCCTCGAAGGTTTTTATGTGATTTGATAGAGAGGTGAGAGAATCTTCAAGAAACTATCTTATTATATTAGCTTAATTTAATAAGTGCAACAAGATGATGCATGTACCACTGTATCATACATCATACGAAGGTTCTTATGTGATTTAATAGAGAGGTGAGAGAATATTAAAGAAACTATCTTATTATATTAGATTAATTTAATAAGTGCAACAAGATGATGCATGCACCACTGCATCATATATTCATATGACATAGCCATGAAGGTGTATTTTCGTTCTGCTCTTGCAATTGCGTCATATATACATACACATGTACATTCACCAATGAACGCATGTAAGGATATGCTTGCACAAACACGGTTGGCATATCTTAAGATTGATAAAATTATAGACACCTCCATATGGATTGACACGATTCTTAAACTTTGCCTCTGATCCACTGAAAAGGGCCAAATTGCAAAGATCTTACTCTCTCTGTTCTAAATTGTTAGTCGTTTTGGCTTTTTTAGATTCAACAACTTTTACTATGTTTCTAGACATAGTGTGTATATATGTGTGTGTGTGTGCATAGTAAAAACATATACTAAAAAGGTCAAAAGGACTTACAACTCAAAACGGGTGGGAGTACTTAAAACTAACCTGCATTAGGGATTGTCCCTTAATTATCTCAAATATTACACATAGAGCAGCAAAGGAAATGAGGAAAATGCTAGTGTTTTTCCCTTTTTGTTTCTCGTCGAACATGGATTCTTGCAGGAACAGAGACGTTGAGATGTCACTTTTGGTGGTGAGGCATGCAATCCCACTCATATGTTTGTTAGCTTTTTAGTTTGCTTTCAACAACCATAAAAAAATGCATAGGTTGACGTTTTCAGTTCCATGTGTATACAGTTACGTCTAGGATCACAACGGGCTATTACTGTATTATTACATAACATCTTTTGGAGGAGAATAAGCATGCATGCATGCATCTAGCATGATGTCCTTTTTACTTGGGTTCCTATGTAGCCTCCTGTAACACTTGAAAATTTATTTTTAGCCAGTTTTCATGTGGAACACAAACCTGTATTACATATAGCACATCTCTTATACTTTCTTTCTCATTTTGGATAAAAAGGTTTATCTAGAGGTTATATATTTGGAGTGACAATGATTATAAGCTGGTTCGGACCTATTTAAACAACCAATATATGACTAATTTTTTCACTAGAACACAACATATGGACTGTAAAGGGCCGAAACCAGAACGTTAATAGGTTAGGGTATTGCACATCTAAACATTTTATTTTAACTTTTTATGTTTGAGTTTATGTGGCATTATAAGTGATGATAGCGTGTTTTTGTTCTTTCCCCCCTTAGTTCTTTATCTATTGTTCATGTAACACAAAATAAAACATGCACATGACAGTATATGTATGCAGAATAAATGTTGTTATTACTGAGTGCTCGCAGCTGCTATAGTAACTGAGAAAAGGGCGAAACAATAATAAAATTTGTTGGAGAAACGACGATGCAACATCAGCTTGGTGGGAAATGTGCAGAGGAGACGAGATTCTTTGTTTACACGCTATCACAAGTATGACACGTATATGCACACGCACATCACCACGTAGGCACACCGCGAGTACGCAACACCAACTATAAAAAACCAACGAAAACATCGCAAGCCCAGGATTTGCATCCTCTATATATAATGTACTATATATTCATTGAACCTTGAAGGAAATAAGGTGATCGTGTTCCAGGATTCTTTTCATTCTTCTTTTTCTATTGAAAAAACTTTGCATTCATTTCTAAATTTCATAGAACTTCAGTTACATGGTACTTCAAGTCTGCAAATTTGCGCTTGAAATAAATTTAAGTATCTTCAACTGTTCGGTAAAACCACTCCTAATCTTGATTTTTTTTTTAGAATGAAGAAAAATATTCCTTCAATAACTTCCTATCGTAACTCCAATATATCCACGCTTGGAAAAAAAAGGAGGATCCACGTGCAAACGTATATGGAAGACCGGCCGCTACCACCTGTCGTTGGGAGGACACCATGTTTTGTCAACACTTGTGGTCTCCCTGACAGCCATCACTGCTACCGCCTAGAGTTTTACCGGAATCGAATCTCTAACCACTATTTTCATATCTGAAAATACTATGAGGTAGAGTAGGCAATGTGGATTCCATTTTGGAGGTTATGATGTTAGGTAGGTATTGAGATGGCCAGTTGGCGGTGACAAAGGCAGTGATGACATAGATGGCAACAAAAATCTTTAAGCGGGTCTCTGCTTTTTTTTTTTTTTTGTAGAAGTAAACTGTCGAAACTATTGGTGACGGAGTTGTTTTTTTTGAGGTTGCAAACCAGATTTTTAGGATTATTCTTTAATAAAGTTGGAGATACTTTTACTTCGATTAAAATCGCTTTTAGTGGAGTGGCACACGCTGTGACACGCGAGGACAGGACAAATGCAAGGTCCGGCAGGCCGTGCTAGAAGACAATTGTTGCTGTTATCCTGATGCTCCCATCAAATACTAGTACTAATAGTATATATAACTACGACATCAGAAACTCAAACCGTAAACAAGTGGGACAACAAACCAACAGTGACAGCCCAACACCCAAGCACACACACATTTTTGGACTACTTGATGGGTCTCCCAATAGTGTGGGCACAGAGAAATTGATGACTATTTCTGTCCCTTTCCGGGAACAGAAGCAAATAATGTTTAATATGTAAATTATAAATCGTGTGGATATGCATTCAACGTCATACAATGTGCAAAGAAAACAACATTGTATTGCAGTAGGTAAAACCATATAAAATATCTACTTCTAAAAGTATAAGACAGGTTTATTAGATTCAATATATTTTTATATATCTTCTTCCTCGAGATCGAAACGTATATATGACAGAGAGCAAGAATCCCTTGATAATTCGTAGTTTCTCTTTAAGCTTCAGTCTTCAGGCATCTTGGTCCCTCGGTCCAAACCTCATGCCTGCCTTCACCGCTCCTGGTCCATCGGCACGGCACGTCTCTACTTGACCTTCTCCATGTCCGTTGATTATCTTTGTGCTACACACCTGCACACCAACACAACCTGAGACATATTGCACAAGTACTCACGCAATGGTTAGTCTCTAAACTCAACCAAAGCCGATTATCTCCGACAATCCCTCTTCACAAACTCGACACACAAGGGCACAAATCAACCTTGTGTTCGCAGTAGTTTACATACTTGAACGTGTTAATACACATAAACACTATAAGACAATACGTTCGGCGCTAGCTAGGCCACACACAGCACCAACCACAAGTTCAGACAGGAGTCACAATGACATGTACCAGCACACACCATTTCTACACCCTTATCTATTCTTCTGCAAAGCTAGAACCATGGAACCATTCTTGTCATATAGAAGACGCCATCATCCTAGCTAGACTGGATGCATGTCCACGTTTACACATTTACGGTGCACGAACAAAGAGCGCCATGCTGATACCCAGAGCACGACACTGGCATAGTTACGAAGACTGCGCAGTAGCAATCTAGGCTGTGCCTGCCTTCTTGACGAACGCAAGATTGCCGTATGACATGAAGTGGCACACCGACGTACTGCCACCAGGGCGATTGTTCAGTATCTGGAACGCTGGGTGCATCGGATTCCAGCAGGTGGTGTCGAAATGGCAGAACGCTAGAAAGGAAACCGTCGGGCCCTCCTGGCGGTCGCGAAGCGAGACCTTGTAGCCTCCGTACCCCGTATACGTAACGTGACACTGGTAGACGGCGTAAGGGAACGGCACCTTGTGGCAAGACACGTAGCCGCTGCCGTCTAGCGGGGTGACTGCCTGGACCACATACTGCCGGCGTGGCAGCAGGCCACCGCAGGGGAGCGCCGACGTAGCCGCCCACACGTAGTCACCACCACCACCACCACCCTGCAGCTGGCTGGTGGTGGTGCCGAGCATCTCCATGGCGGCCTTCACGGTGCTCTCTAGTGACGTGGTGCAGGCTTTCATCTCACCGGCGATTGGCGGCTGCTGGCACTTGATTAGGGTGTCCTCCACTTGCGCCGCCTCAGCGGAGCCTGGTGAGATGTGGAATGTGGATAGGACGTCACTTAGGTTCTCGAAGGGGACCTTGTCGGCGATGTCGTGCGGGAGG